GGGGGGGGTTTCGGAGATACTACTCGATAGGGCTAGTTTCATATCCATTCATGGTTGCATGGCTCACAATTAGGCACATGGAGAAGTCGAGGATGCCTTCGTCAATCTCTTTGTTGGGGTGGCGCGATGTGGTCCTTGAGGGGGGTTGGGGGATTCGGCGATCCTTAGACAGCTGGAGCAACACTAGCTGCGAGCTTTTTTGGCCTTTTTTTCCTTCTGCCATGTCTCGTCGGTTTCTGCAAACAGATGGCTCAAGCGAGCCAAGAAGCTCCATTTTTGGGGAAGAGTGGAAGGGAATTGTGGAATCCTTGCAACCGTCACATCTACTTCCCTTTGTGTTGAGTCGCTCCTACCCGCTCCTCCCTAGTGCCTCCCCAGTGTTACCCTTCCCCCCCGGCTCGTAAGTCACTGCAAGTCTTTTCGCAGATTTTGTGTGGATTGTAGACTGTGGCCTGGTATCACCGATGGGACTTGATTATAATAAACCACCCAGCCTGTTGCCCGCCTCGACCTCCCGTTTTCTGTCTGGCTCCTGCTCTCCTTTTCTCGTTTCCCTGGTTAAAATTTCCGCCTTTCTTTTCTCCTTCCTCCTGATTGTTGCTTCTCTTTGACCAAGGATTTGTTCTTCTACACCAGATCAGGACGGTTGGCTTCGAAATTTGGGAAAGAGGATAATAGGGGTCCACCATCCGCACACACTCAACCGTATAACCCCCAGCTCTTCGAATTCTTCATCGGTTGACGCCCTCACCTTCACACTGATGTCAAAAGTCGAAACCTAAAACAACAAAAAAAAGAGAGGAAACTTCTACAAGATGGATAAACAGCCCGAGGATAAACAGCCCGAGTACACTCAGACGGAGAATGTCGCCGAGAAGCCGCGCAAGCGTGGCTGCGCCGGCCACTGCTTGAAGTTTTGGTGGGCCTACTTGATCGCCGTCATTGTCATCGTTGTCATCGTTGTCCCTGTTGTGTAAGTCACCATAACTCACATGATCTTATTGATAAAGATGTGTTTAGTTGCTAACAGTCATACCACAGTATCCTTGTTGGCGTTCCCAAGATCGCTCAACAGAAGCTGGACCATGCCGAGCTCATCCTTGACAGCATCGTCATGACCAATTCCCGGGCTCAAAATTTTACCATGTCTATCAACACTGAGATCAAGAGTGACGGAAAGGTCAAGGCCACCATTGAGCCTTTCGAGGGCGTCATGTACCTTGAGGATCTGCTGGAGCACAAGCCTTTTGCCAAGGTTCATTTCCCTGAGACCACCAGCGCCAAGTCCCAGATTATCAACATCACCCAGTTTACCATGATCGATGATCTGGATGCTTTCACCACCTTCAACACCTGGCTTCTGCACAACGAGACTTTTAGGGTTACCGTCGAGGGTGACACCAAGGTTCACGTCAAGGGTATTGCCAGGGCCTATGGCGTTACGTTCAAGAAGACCATTGACATGCCCGGTAAGCACTTGTTTGTGATGTTAATGCTTGGCGGACATCGTTACTAACAGTAACAACAGGCCTCCGTATGCTTGACGGAACCACTGTAACCAATACCACCGTCAACGCCACTGCTCCCAAAGGCCAGAACAACTTCTTCGGTACCGTCAGAATCCCCAACTACTCCAAGGTTGCTTTCGAGCTTGTAAGTTCAACTCTTCCACTTCTTCCACTCGGCACTAATATGCTGACCTGTCGCTTTATAGGGCAATACTTCCTTCCACAACTACCTCCTTGACAAGGAAATTGGCACTGTCTATCTCGACAACCTTTCACTCAAGCCCGGCAACGACAACGTTTATCCTATGCGCGCCACCATCGACGACCTCGGCTACGTCACTGGCCTTGCTGTGCAGAAGCCTTATTGCGACAAGCTCAACGGCGTCCTCCCCTTTAAGCTTCGCGGCAAGAGCGTCATCAACCATGGCGAAAGCCTCTCCTATTTCGCCGATGCCTTGGCTTCCGGAAATCAGACCGTCCAGATCGACATCCGTGGCACTGTCAAGCGCTCGATGGGTTTTACGCTCGGTTGCACCGACGAGTAAACCATCCGTACTGTCGATACGTGTTTTGATGTTCGAATACCCATGGATGGCGAGGTTACGCGGAAACGTTGCCTAGTGGCATGTGACGCACTTGAGCGATCCAATTCACTTTTCTTGGCACGCCGCATTGTGCCTACAATGTGTACAGGCTCACGCCGCCACTTCAATTCTGCTTTGGTTTGGATAAATAGGGTGTCATTTATGTTTAATGCTTATGTGTTTAAAGATACCACGGGACTGCACAGGGACAGGGATGATGAGATATGGTCGAGATTGGACAAAAACTGGATTGAAGAGCTTCTGTCGAGATGAGGAATGCAGAAAACAACATGTTGGAACGCATTTCTTATGAATCTAAAATGTGTAAAAGTGTTCACCGGCTTCCTTCGTTGCCATGTTAGGATCAAAAGTAGACAAATAATTGAAGATACCATCCATCTTGCGAAACTCAATTGTGTACTAGTGGCTGAGAATGGCTTTGCGAACCTTTCAGTTGAATACGTAAACATAGCGTTCGAGGTTGTCCGATATCAAACGCAGGAGCTTCGGGTTTTGCAATCCAGCTCTCGGATGGCATGAAGTCTACATACTATGAAAACACATGGGGTTACAATCGCATAAACTAACATTAAACCTCCTCTCCCTTGTGTCTTCACTATCATCACACCAATTCCATGGTCTTTGTGTCGTGTCTCTGAATTGCCATCGGTGTTGTTTCCAAATCGCCCTGTTTTGCAACGTCCTATGAAGAAGTAAATGAAGACATTCATTGGTGAGTCTTCATACCAATACCTCGAGAGTCAAGAATCGTCCATGTTGATAAAGCCGTTACAGCAGCACATTGGTAGGTTGATGCATATAGATTTGTACGGACGCGAACCAATCCGCTCTTCTATCACGACGAGGACCGGGCGTGAGAAAAGGTATCAGGAGTTAACATGACTGTTTCAACATGATATATGATCGGTCCGTCGCTATCAACGAAGTGGACCGCCATATACTCTTATTCCGATCTAGATCCCCTAGCCACCTCGAACCACCCACGCGGGCACAACGAAAACATATTACGAATCCGTAGCCCCCCCTCCCCATCACGTATCAAACCTCGACTTCCTCTTCACCCCAGCCGTCGTAACAGCACCAGCACCAGCACCAGCACTCGGGGTCCCCACCTTCGTTCCCGTCCCGCCGCTCATCCCCCCAGGATAGGCCACACTCCCCAGCGGCGTTGCGCTTCCCGTCCTACTCACTATTCCGCTACCCGTCATCGTCGTGGATCCTCCACTAACAAACTCCACTCTCTCCCCTTTCTTCCTCTCGCTCTCCTTCTGCATCCTCTCCTGCGTCTTACGCAGCCGATCTCTGTACGCCCACCCCGGCATCGCAGTCGGATCCCAAACCTCCTTGGACAAGGTGGTGGCGTATTGCTCTGCCCCAGCTGGCGCGGGCGCTGCTACCTCTGTGCCATTGCCATCCAAGGAGACGTCCCTCTCAAGGGGTTTGCGGTTACCGTCGTGACCAACGTCATCATCATCATCATCATGATCAAACCAAATCTCCGTCTCAACCCCCACGAACCTCATCAACTTATCCATCAATCCCGGATTCTTTGTAGCAGCGCTCTGCGCGATGCGCGAGTTGAAATGCTGTCCTTTGTTGCGCTTCAGTTCCAGGAACTTGTCGAATTTGCTGGTTAGAGCGGATAGCCGTTCCACCGAAGAGATATCAGAAGGTGAAAGGGGAGGGGAGGCCGGGATGTCCATGTTTGGAAGGGCGGGGAGGGTGAGGTCCCGAAGCAAGGTGCGGGTTGTGGTGTAAGGGGATTTGGGGGGTTCTGCTGAAGGTCCAGATGCTAAGGCGGTGGAGGAAGTGGAAGGGTCGTTGAGGAAGGACATGTCGATGTCGGAATCGGGCTCGGGGAGGAGGGTGTTGGATGAGGCGACTTCCGTGGGAGGGGGCATTGAGGGGCCGAGGGCTGGACCGAGTACAGGGCCTTGGGGTGGTGATGGCGAGGGGACTGGTTGTGGTTGTTGTTGTTGTTGTTGTGGCGCTGATGTCTCGTTATGACCATTTGTAGTCGTTGGTGATGATCTCGTAACTGTAAATGGGTTCGCGACTGGCGGAGGGACATCTCATTTAGTTATCGAGCTCATGGCGCGAAATCGACTTGAGTATGAGGGGGCGTACCGGCATTGCTTTGTGATGAATGTATAGATATGTCATTCTTGTTGTTCTGTAGCTATGAAACCTTGTCAGCTGGTGAACAACACATGATTTTTATGCTAAGAGCTATCCATATTCTTACCACAGTCGGGGTGTCAACTTGGACATCCTCATCCTCGTCACTGCTGTCGTACGCTACAAGCCCCATTATTGCGCTGGGTTCAATCTGTTTGGTCGTATAGAAATAAGAGAGCCAGATCAATTGATGCAAGACAATCTAAGAATCAAAAGGGCGCCGTTCTTGATGAGTACAGGTAGTGGTTATTAGGTTCGAGATGAAGGGTGTCACGTGCTGATAGGAGGCTCAAGGCCAAGCCTGGACCCAAGTTCAAAACATTCAAGACGCTCGGGCCCACGCCTACCTCTACACTACCCTCTGAGCCAAGACTCCACTGTTTGCATGGAAGCGGACAAGCAGTGACGCCAAGCCAAGCCCAACAGTGGACAGCGGGACAGCGGGAGTGAAGGCAGCACCTGGACGCGAAGCTGCAGGGCAGGGGATGGAGCTTACTGGATGGCGCAGCCTGCCACTGCCAGCTCCTCCAGCCGTAACGTCAAGCCAACCAGGCGGAAGCTCCCCACGTCAACACCATCATCCCAAACGTAACAAACCATCCTATCGATACCTACCTATCTTGCCCACATTCAACAACCAACGTTAACACTTTCTCAGCGAGCGCGAAACATTCACGAACAGCGACTGAGTTCTACTATTTCGTCGACGTCTCTTGTTTACGAAACGATACCCCGCCTTCAGATCATTCTCGATTCCCAACTCTAGTTGACCATGGATCACCGCCCGCAAGCTTGGGGTCGTGTACGTCCTCAACCCCCTCCGCCCGCTGTCGCAGCAGCGCTTATACATATCTCTAGCCAACATGAATGGCATGGAACTAACATATTGCTTCACGGCACCTGCAGCCCAGAGACGATGTCTACGGCGCCTATGACCATTCCTACCTCCAGAACAGCGGCCCGAAGCAGGCGACACAAGCACCCATCGTGACGGGTACCTCCGTCATTGCAATGAAGTACAAGGATGGTGTAGTCATGGCCGCGGATAACCTTGGTATGCTGAACCTCACCACTCAAATGAATCAAATGACACCCATCCCATATCATCCCTTGCTGACTTGTTCGAAAAACAGCCTCCTACGGCTCCCTAGCCCGCTTCCCCGACGTCAAGCGCCTCCGCGTCTTCCTCGACTCCTCCGTCGTCGGCTTTTCCGGCGACGTATCCGACATGCAATTCCTCGACCGGCACCTGACGGACCTCTCCATCGATGAAGCGTACGAGGACCCCTCCTGCACTGCTGCTCCCAACGGCAAGGGTCACCTCAACGCCGCCAACCTGCACAAGTATCTGCAAAAACTCCTCTACAAGCGGCGCAACGATTTCGACCCGCTTTGGAACCAGCTTCTGATTGCCGGTTTCGACGGCCACTCCAAGCCCTACCTGGCCAGCGTTGACCTGCGCGGCACTTCCTTCACTTCTCCATCCCTGGCGACGGGTTTTGGAAGCGCGCTGGCGCAGCCCATCATGCGCCGGTATGCGGAGACGGAGGAGGATGCGGCCAAGTTGACGCGCGAGCAAGCCGTTGAGGTTATCAAGGAGTGCATGAAGGTGCTGTATTATCGCGACGCGAGGAGCTTGGATCGGTACAGCATTGCGGTTGTGACGAAGGATGGCGTCGAGCTGAAGGAGGATGAGCAGCTGGAGAAGCAGAGCTGGGCTTTTGCTGAGCGGATCAAGGGATATGGTACTCAGACTGTTTGAGGTGGTCTATAGACAGCACCGTGTAGATTGAGGGTAGGGGCTCGGGGTTGATAATGAGACCTAAAGGAATATCATGGAATCAAACGAATAGAGGGTCATACGCGGAAGACATCGTGGCCGTTTGCTATTCCGGAATATGGGAATTGACACGCTATCACAACATGGCATTGGCTTGTCTATCAGGCTCCCACTACGGTCAACTTCCTTCCCTTAAACTGTCCAACACGCGTGTCTTCATGAACAGAAACGGATTCAACTCCTTTCGCAAGTACATTATCAAGATAGTAATATCATTACTGTTACTAGCTAAACTCCTTAATCACAGTCCATCACATCGTCCCTGAATGTGACGAATAGATCAAGTAACAAGTAACGCTTCAAGCCATCAGCACAATATCCCGGATTCCATTTGTTCCATCCCACCGACTCCCTTGATTTGCATTTCACTTTCGACCTCCCCGACGCACCTTGGCTTTTCGCCTTTTCCTTCTTCCTTTCCTTTCAGGTCAGATGTTGATGTGCTTCCCAGCCAGCAAGAATACTCCACCACGCCCACCTAGACCAAAGCACGATGTATATTACAAATAGGTATATCAAAAATCCGCTCATCAACAGAAGACCTGTCTTCCTTGTCTCGTACGTCTCTTCGTGCACAAGTCGATCGCTCGACAACCCCGTTCATTTATCCCTTACTCCACAGTCACCGACTTGGCAAGGTTTCGGGGGAAGTCGACATTGAGGCCCTCCATAACGGCCAACCAATAGGCGATCAACTGCAGAGGAATGACGTTCAAGATACCCTGAAGGCAGTCGACGGTCTTGGGGATCTCGATCTTGACGGCATCGCTGGTCTGGAACTCGGCGTCGCTCTCGTTGCAGATGACGACGGGCTTGCCCTTTCTAGCGACAACTGTTGAAGGGGCTAGCATTAGCATCTTGTCTGTGGGTTTTAGTCATTGGGAAAATGTGGTAAACGTACCTTGCTGGTAGGCGTTCAAGCTCTTCCTGAAGAGCTTGTCGCGGGTCAAAATCATGATGATGGGCAGGTTCTCGTCGACAAGAGCCAGTACACCGTGCTTCAGCTCACCGCTCATGACGGCCTCGCAGTGGAGATAACTAATCTCCTTAATCTTCAAGGCGCCTTCGAGAGCTGTGCTGTACTGGCTTCCACGACCAAGGAGCAGGAGAGACTTCTGGTTCCTGAACCTCTCCTCGCACAACTGCTTGATCTTCCGATCCTGCGTGAGGACGGACGAGATCTGCTCGCTAATCTTTCCAAGACCCTCCATGATTTCCTCGCGACGCTCCTTCTTGGAGGCGCGATCCTCGCCAAGGGACAGAGCAAACATGACCATGGCAATGAACTGGGAGGTGTATGCCTTGGTGGAAGCAACACCGATTTCAGGGCCGGCGTTGACGTGCACACCGCAGTGAGTCATCATGGAGATGGAAGAGCCGACAACGTTGACAATACCAACGGTGAGGGCTCCGCGCTCCAAGCAGTACCTGAGCGCCATAAGCGAGTCAGCGGTCTCACCAGACTGGGAAACGAAGACGCAGGTGTCGTCACGGAAGACAGGTGCTTCGCGGTCGAGGAAATCAGACGCTAGCTCGACAGAAATGGGGATCTCAGTCAGTTCCTCAAAGATACCACGAACTGCCATACAGCTGTGGTAGGAGGTACCGCAGGCAATGAAGATAATGCGACGGCAACGACGGATGGTGTCAATGTAGCTGCGCAAGCCACCGAGAGTAACCGTCTTGTTGGCAACGTCGAGACGACCACGCATGGTGTTGACAACGGATTCGGGCTGCTCAAAAATCTCTTTCTGCATGAAGTGGTCGAACTTGCCCTTCATGATCTCCTGAAGCTCAAGCTCAAGCGTCTGGATTGTACGGACGTTGGAACTACCATCGGCCTTTTTCAGACGGTGAATGTTGAGAGAGCCCTCGTGGATGTGGGCGATATCGTCGTCCTCGAGGTACATGACCTTCTTGGTGTGCTCAACAATGGCGGACGGGTCCGAAGAGAGGAAGAACTCGGTGGGCATGGGCATGCCATCGTCGGTCATGAAGGCACGCGACTGAGAACGGTGGAGCAGAGACTTGTCGGCAGCGCCCAAAAGGCCGTTGGGAGAAAGAAGGCCAGCCGCGGACTTCTTGAGAGCAACATTTTGGGAGGCAGTCTCAGCGGGCAGGGGCTGATCGTCAGCGTACTCAACATCGACGAAATCGACCTTCATGCGCTTCTGAGTCTTGACACCGATAACGAGGGGCGAACCCTTGCGAGCAGCGATGACCTCGTGAGGGTAGTGAACGCTCTTGATCAAAAGACCGTAGGCACCCTCGAGCTCGTTGATGACGGCCTTGGCGAGATCAGTGAAGCCGACAGTAGGGTGCTGGTCGTAAAGGTACTTGGCGAGCTTGGCAATGCACTCGGTGTCGGTCTCGGTTTCGAACTTGAAACCCTTGCCCTCAAGCAAAGTCTTGAGCTCCTTGTAGTTCGTGATGATCCCGTTATGAACGATCGAGAACTCCCAGTTGGGATCAGAACTGTGATTTACTTGGTCAGAACTTGTCCGCTGTTCGAAGGCAGTTCATGAGAGCCGCAGAACTTACCGGTGCGGGTGGCAGTTGACACGCGAAGGGGGGCCGTGGGTGGCCCAGCGAGTGTGAGCGATGCCGCAGTGGGAATCGAAGGTCTCTTCAAGGTCGAGGTTCTGGCTGTCGATAAGCTCCTTCAGCTTCGCAACCTTGCCCACCTCCTTGAAGGCAAGCACCTCGTTCTTCTTGTCGCCATCGATGGCAAGACCGGCAGAGTCGTAGCCGCGGTACTCGAGACGGGAAAGGCCTAGATTGGCAGAGTCAGCGGTCGGCTACCGTTGCTACCGGGTTCAGAGCCTCGTAAATGGTGTCTTTGCGGACAAAGGGCCGGGAAAAGTCCTGGTGTCGTGTAGAGAGGGACAGCAAGCGCAAGCACTCATGACGTACCGTTAACGAGTGTGTCTAGAATGTACTTCCTGTCTTTTTCCACCAAGTAGTTGATATAACCGAAGATGCCACTACACGGCAAAAGTGACTCCAGTTAGCAAAGATCTCGAACTAAGCGGGGGCTGAGTTTGCGCTTCAGCCGTCTCTTGTGATCGGCCCTGCTCAGGAGTGATTGCGGGGCCTTCAGCTCGGACGAAAAGGCAGCTGAATCAGACAGAAGGGCTGGAAAGCCAGCGAGGTTCTCTTTAACGTACCACATGTTGACTGATTAACCAACGAATGACAGTACCGAATAAGGATTTGAAGCTTGTTGTAGTTGTTTTGTGGGAGCCGGGTGTCTTGCGGTGAGACGGCGTACGGAGTTGTACGGGCGCGGGACCTGGATCGGGGGTATCAAGTATTAAAGAAATGGACAGAAGGCGAAACGAACGTGAGGAACGTCGAGTCAGTCGGGGTCGTTTGGAGGACGAAAGGAAGATGAATGGATAGATAGAGTAGGCCAGAAGGGTTCAAAGACACGACGGCCACGGGGAGACTTGTCTTTATGGCTGAAACGGGCGGGGGAGGGTGCCGGGCTCTCGTCACTTCTCTTGGCTCTCTTTTGGTTCTCTTTGGTCCTCTTTGGCATCCGTCCGTCTCTCACTGGAGACTGGCTGTGTTCAGGTCGGCCCCGTTGCCCCGTCCACGGGCGGATTTGGCAGGGCACTTGGTGCGAACTTGGTGGACAGCACTGGCCAGCGCGGACGGCAGGGACAAACGGCACCAATGGCATTGACCAGTTCGCTGGTGAGACTGGTGGTGCAGGTGCAGCTTCCCAGGTGGGGCACAGGCGCACTACGTATCGCCAAGGACAGGGGTCTCGCCCACCTGCTCGCTTCTCCTTGGCCGGCCAAACGACTTTGGTGTCCACCGCCCGAACGGTCTCTGCGTTCATCCAGACTCTGCCCAAAATCGTCCCATGCTCACAACAATTTTGCTTTGTTTTTGCTGTTGTCTCCAGAGAGCTCTGCACCATTGTCCACTGAGTGAGCAAAATTCGCACTTTTGTGCCTGTCTTGTGGTGATCGTGTAGCCCAGTGTTCTAGCGTGATACATGTTCGGAGTCGCTAGGGCTGTTTTGGTGGTGGCCTTTTGAATATAGCGGGGGACCAGCAGTTTCCATGGGCAGGACGATTGGTGATGGAGGGGTTCGGTTTGTTGTTTATGGGGACGGGACTGTTGTTTACTTGAGGTTCACACACCACCCACCAACTCCGAGACCATCTGGAATCTTCTTGATAACTCAATATCATGCTGGCCATCCATATCTACGACTTCTTCTCATCATGAATCGTATCCTCTCTTGCTGTGTCTCGCAAGAAACTGACCGTGTTCGGTCTTACATGTGCACAGACTCAGCTGAAAGCCCGCAGCTTACATGTGTGCCACCTCGGGCCCACCATGAAATGTGTTGTAGAAGGCCAGACCGCAATGTACACTTCTTCCTACCTATTTGCACGATATCGTGTGTTTCAGCCAACTCGAGATCGTCAAACCGGTCACATCTCTGGTGGACGCCATATATGTCAACAGTAAACAGTCAAATGCAAGCCATTCCAGCTTTGTCATTGATTGGCGACTCTTCACTGCTTGGCAAAACGAGGCACGGGGCTCCCTTTATTGGTTGGGTCATAAACCTCATGCACTGCACGCACTGCGCTCGGCAAGCTAGGTAGAGATACAGCTCTCCATAACATCCACGACTCAGTCACCCCAGCAGAGGCCTCGAATGATTACATATGAAAGCCAAAAACTTTTTCCAAATAGACCGTGGCATACTCCTGAAAGCCTTCGATATCTCTACATCCTCACCGCCTTGCCGGGTTTCAGGCCCATTCCGATAACTGTGAGCTCGTACAGTAATTCCAAAGTCCGGTGTCTACTGCGTATGCTGTGGCAATGTATTCAGGGGTTTCAGGGCTATGGCGGTGGAGAGCCTCCCGTCGTTCATAACAGCGCCGTGAGCCGAACAAGGGCCCGTTAAGCCCTCCGCAACGTCACTGGCAACGAATGCTGTCTGCGCCCTTCGCATGACGCGCGCCATCCATTCTTCAAGCCCGGCGATCGGCCGTGACATCCTTTCCGAAATGTGCGGGATAATGAATAAACATACGGGGTATGGGGACGCCATCACGCGGTTAGTGTCGATCAACCCCTGACCTACTCAGCCTCCCGAACCTGGGTCGGAGCAGAACAACGACAAACAAGTTAAACAACAAGCATCTCCCGCGTATCACAGGGCAAACCCGACCCCAAGGCATAAACTACCGGGACCCTAGTATCCGTCTTTCTTTGTTCGCAGGTTCCCTCAAGCTCCATAAGATTTCCTTTGGGTACTCTGAATACGACGATACGGCGTTGCCCCAGGTCGCTAGCTGAATTTCCAAGCAACCGACAGAAGTGGAAGTCATCTTGTAGGAGCCCACTTTTTGCGGCTGTGGCACCCTTCTCCACGGGCACAAGGAGGACCATCCAGGCCGCTAAAAATGTGGAAAACGAATACCATTCGGCCGCCGGCCGGATTCCTACTATTCTTAGCAACCCATGAAATCTTTGCTCCCAGAATGCCGGGTCATTCATGTGCTGGATGATGAAAAGTGTCCCCGAAAGAAACACGATGTCAAAAAAGTTAGGTTGATGGAATTCGTCCATACTTCTCTTTCGAGAAAGATCATCAGCCAGTCAACCACAAACCCAAATGAAAATACGAACAACGTCCGCGGTCCAGTTTCCCTTTTTCGTTCCTCTGTGCAATTTTACAATACGGTGGCGCCTTGTTCAAACCCGGCAAGCAGTCTCGCTCTATCTTTCACATGGCAATAATGCTACTACTCTACCACCATGAGCATGATCATGTTAGCGTGACCACCATTTATCCTAGCCGGATATCTATTGTATGGAATATGTAGCCGCTCCACAAACCATTACGACTAGAGTCTATTTGCCATGCTACCTCGTATCGTGCTGATCCGCTCTTGGGCGGCGGCGCCCGCCCAGGAACAGGAACAGACACTACCATTCACAGAGAGATGGATGACACCCTACTAACTTACTTTTACACTAGCCACCCAGCCATCCCAGCCACTGAGCCGCATAACACTATCTGCTCCATCGCATCACCACAAGAGGTAAAGTGCACATTGGCAAGTTATAAGCCGAATCACCTACGATTTTCTTTTACACATATTATCGATTGTCAGTGTACACAATACATACAGTAGGTAAGCAAACGGGAAAGATATTTTGGGTCGATCCACCTTCACAAGGCAACCAGGAACGGGATGGGACCATGGAAAACATGCGGAGAAGTGGCACAGAAGTCACATACAGACCGGACAATAACCGCGGCCGGAAAACGTGATGCCGGAGACTTCCTCCTTGTCTTTGCTAGGAGGTCTAGACCGACACCATTCCGTCCGTGTTTGACCAGGAACCCGAGCTGATCAAAAACGGCATGTCCATACATACACGTGGAACATGTACAAAAGAAGGAAGGCAAGCGTATCCAGCCTCGTTGCCTTAGGGGCAAAGACAATCGGACAATCTTCCCTCTTAGTTTCATAATGAAGCGAGGGAAAAAAAAAAACACTAAACGTGGTTGATTGGCAGGATTGCGCAAACCGGAATCGTCTTGCCATCATGATCCATCCATCCGTACGTCCATCCAGACATCTGCTCATCCATCCTTCTCAACAGCAAGGCATAACAAAGCGGGTGCCGTAGACCAACAGCCGGGAAGCTGCATGGCGGTGGTAAGGCGGTGGTGCAAGCGGTGCTACCTACTTTACTAATGCTGTGGGAGGAAACAACGGTGGCTCGGTTGGGTTGCTTACCTCGTTGTGACAATGTTGGACAGCTACCACCATGGGGAAGAGATGATCATCTGAAGCGGAGATGATTTCTACGGTAATTTGTTTACCCAACTCCAGCCATTCGATTGAGGATGGTCCTGAAGAACTAAGATAGGATGCGAATTCCAAGGACATGTCATCGTTACTGCCCAAGACCAATAACCGTCAAGCTTGACCCTAGGGTTGAAGGAAGGGGACGGTGCCACAAGCCATCAAATAGCCATTTCGACGCCCTTCCTGCGGGCATCGTGGTAGTCGCTTGTGTACAAATTACAGCTGAAAGCTCGCTGATCATCATCTTCCCCACTCGCATCTAGGTAGGGCGCAAAGTCTGCTATGTCCGTGTCTAAGATGCTTCATCACTGTTGTTTGCTCAACTGCTACCACCTCCTCCCCCACAACTCCAACCACCAACTACTCCAGTCTTATCATAGCTTCTGATATTCGAGCTTGCCCTCAAGCTTCTTGGCCTCGGCAACCTTGCGCACCGCCTTGTTGAAATCGTCTTGGTTGATCGCATCGCGGTAGTCCTTGATCGCAAACAGACCACTATGTAAAAGAGAAGCGTTAGCAGGGTGCTGCATGGTCGGCATTTGGTTATAGCAGGAAATTGTCAACTTACGCTTCAGTAACCACATTGCGCAAATCAGCACCGTTCAAGCCATCGCTCATTTTCACAACACTCTCGTAGTCGATATCGCCCTCGATAACCACACCAGAGGCGTGAATCTTCAGAATCTCCAGGCGACCGACCTCATTCGGCAGAGGAATCTCGATCTTGCGGTCTAGACGGCCGGCACGCAGCAAAGCAGGGTCGAGGGTATCGGGGCGGTTCGTCGCCATGATGATCTTCGTCTTGCCGAGATAGTCGAAACCGTCGAGCTGGTTGAGGAGCTCCATAAGTGTACGCTGGATTTCTCTGTCGGCAGATGTACCCTCGCTAAAACGCCTGCCACCGATGGCATCGATTTCGTCCATGAAGATGATGCAGGGCTCGTGTTCCTTGGCGTAGCCGAACATTTCGCGGATTAGTCGGGCGGATTCACCGATGTACTTGTCGACGATGGCGGAGGAGACGACTACAGACGCGCAGTATTAGTGACCTATATTCGAGTAATGGCGCCGTCAAGATGCAAGACAAAGAGGGTATGAGCTTACCCTTCAAAAAGTTGGTCTCCAAGCTGCTCGCGACAGCCCTAGCAAGTAACGTCTTTCCGGTACCTGGAGGGCCATAGAGCAAGACACCCTTGGGGGGCTTGATACCGACTCGCAAGAACAGCTCTGGGTTCTTGAGGGGCAGCTCAATAACCTCTCTGAGCTCACGAATCTGATCGTTGAGACCGCCGATACCCCCGAAGCTGACTTGACCAGGATCCTCCAGCGACATGTTGTATACTAGCGGGTCGACCTCGCGGGGGAGCATGCGCATGATGGTGAGGGTTGTCATGTCGAGCGCCACACGTGTTCCCTGCTTGAGCTTCGCCTTGTCGACCTTTGATCGGCAGCCGACGACGTATCTGGGGCCGGAGGAGGCCTTGACAATAACTGTGGCATGATGAGTTCGTAATGATCTCCAGAGAATGGATAGGGGATGCAAGACGTACACCTCTCATCGTCCAGTTGCTTGAGGACCTCGCCGATGATCTGGCCGACACTTTGCAACGCCTTGATGTTCTCTTCTGTTTGGTCGTACTCCTTCTGTAGGCCCTTCAGCTCCAGACGCAAGTTCTTGAGCTTTGCTTCCCACTCTCGCGACTCGATCAGTTTCGCCTTGAACGAAGCCAAGGCATGTTGGCGCTCCTGGTCCGCCATTATTGTGGAGATATCGCAACGACTGGCGGTTTGTCTAGTTGATGGAAAGGTGACGTCAGGCTGTCTTGAGGCGTCAGCGTGATTGACTGTTTCTTGGGTTTGTGAATAGACCGGTAAGCGCGCGCAGGTCGAAGGGCTCGGGTATGGTAAACGAAATGGTTGTTTGATGGATGGACTGGTTCCAGATTGAGATGTTGTGTTGATGCAACTGAACAAGTCGGCAGGCGGGCAATGGGCTGGCGTTGACGCACGGACAAAGGTACGTAGCTATCGATGGAGCTTACCTCAAGCTCTCGTTGCCTTGGGCGGCGGGTGGGTCCAGTGCATTGTCGCATTCTTGCCCCAGCTGAGAGTCGAGTCGGGTGTGAATGCAGTTGCATTTAGGTGGTCTGAGCGTTCAAGCCGTCTCGCGGCGGGGGGAGGTTCCATCCCGTCTCGTTGCTTATTGGGTATCAGCTTATCTTATCTGCTGTTCATACAGGTAAGGTACCTACCTCTACTTCTACTTGTATGTGGGTAGATGGATAGCACCCACGACGACACTGGACTACAACCTCGCGCTTTCCTCTCGTGATATAAATCAGCTCTGCCAGACACTTCCACTTTACACTTCACACATTTGAGTTCCATCCCTAAACTGGACAATTCTGCGCCTTTTCGAAACTTGTTATTTGCCAATTCTCCCCTCCCAGCTTGAAGAGGGCCCAACATGACAAACGACTGGCTTCCGAACCGGCCAGGGCGAGCCAATACATGGTTGACGTGGACTTCCTCCCACGCCTCTCCAAATGCCGTTTCGACGCCTGGACCTTGAACCATCATCCGATATTCGCTTTGGAGAACTTCTGTGGAGAACATGGTCACTGCGGCGCCGTTGCTCATGATGCCCACATTACGCACTGATGAGAGATCTGTCTCTACATAAACCACCCAAAGCTCAACAGAACTACGGTCTGCTTAACAGCATGCAATTTCCAAATTGGCTTGGAGAGAATTGCAAGATAAGTACTCATATTTTCACGGCTATCAAACATCGACACAAAGGTGGTTGTTCACGGCGCCTGATCTCTCATCATGCCCCCGACGCAAATCTCGTTTGATTACCCCCTCAGCATTACCAATATTGGTACAGCTACCGCCTTGATCCATCTTGGTGAGCCAAGCAGTCCGAACCGTATCAATCTTATCACAGACCCCGTGTTCGGTCCCGGCAGCACCCAAATCGAGTATCGCGGTCTTGTCATCAAAAAGTCCGACTCCCCAGCCTTAACTATCGACCAGCTCCCTCCCATCGATGCTGTTCTACTCAGCCATGAAGATCATCCGGACAACCTAGATGAGCTCGGCCGACGCCTTCTTGATGCTCGAAGGGTCCTCACCACCAGAGACGGCGCTTCTCAACTAGCTCCGCGGCCAGGAGTGCGGGGCCTTAAGAATTGGGAAACCGTTTGTCTTGATTTTGGTGGTGAGGGAAAGGCGCGGAAGCTGGAAGTGACGGCCACTCCATGCAAGCACTTACCCGGCGGTCAGGTAGTGGGCTTCATTGTCAGCTCTTCAGACGGGGCTTTTGGAACACAGCCTGACGGTCGTCCGAATGCGATATACTTCTCTGGAGACACGATTCATCTCGAAGAGCTTGGCAAGATGAAGGCGAAATATCATATCGCCGTCGCCATGTTGAACATCGGAAAGGCAACTGTGATCTTGCCCGGCGGGGGTGCTGATGGGGGAGGCCCGCTGCAGATCACCATGGGTGGTGACCAGGCAGCGCAGTTGGCTAAGGACATCGGAGCCGACGTAATTGTTCCATTGCACTTCGAGTCATGGAGTCACTTTGCGGAATCTGGGACCCAACTGGCAAATGACTTTGCGAAGGCAGGGGTGGAGGATAGGGTGCTTTGGTTGAAGCGAGGCGTGGAGACCAAGATTGTTTGAGTATTCCACGAGCTGGGAAACATACAGGTAGCTTTGCCCGTCAGGGCAGCCCACGCATTGATGTATCGTCCCGAAAGCTAACAAAGGGGAAACTCGCAGTGATTATAGAACAGATATTGAATGATAGACAGGGGCCGTAACACCGCGACGCCATGTCAACTCACTCATCAAGACAAATAATTATTTCCATTGGTCATGGCCTCATGTTCCGCGTGCGCTGCCAACCGAATGTGACCTTCGGTCAAATCCAACCAAAGCAACCGAATATCAACTCTAAAGCGCCTTGTCAAAGATTGTCATCATGATCGAAATCTGCTCCATCCCTTCACTCGGGTGGAGCATTAGAGAGACCGTGTTCGTTCATTTCTTTGGGCTTACTCCATGTCTCTGGCTCTGTCAATGCCGCCGAGGAGAATGTTAGTAAGTCTCTCTTGCAAAGACTTATCGATCTCATCGACTCTGTCCCAGGGACGGGTGTCAACCATCTTTCCCACGCTTTCTGTCAGTACGGCTTCAATGAGGCGGGCAGGATAAGACGGATGGGAAGGTCCAACTCACGTCTCGAACTCTATGCTTCTCGTTCAGGTCATCATCCAATGTCTTCAACCATCTCGAAGCCGCTTCGTTTCTGCCGATTTGCAGGAATTGAATTCCTACCTGGTTTGGAAGTGCCCTCAGTTCATCCAGCCTCCTCGCTGCATTGACGATTACATCCTCTACCGCATCCTTGTCATCTGCCGCCCCGTCCGTAATCACAATAAGGTTCAACATCTTTGGCTTCTCGGGACAAGGTGCCCGCTCTGCCATCCGTAGCCGATAGTTTTCGAACCGGTCGATATAAGCCGTCAGGATTGTCCAAAGTCGCTCGGCAATGAAGGTTCCGCCACCAATCTCGTCTGGACTGACTTCGTTGGTCAAGAGATCTAGAACCCGTTGTCCATCCTGGATTCTAAACTCGTCCTTATCGTCCCGGTAGAAGAAATGCACATCTACACCGTCACGGTCATAGTGTGTTACAATATCGACGATGTAGCGCAGAGATTCGATCATTTCATCCCATTTCGAACGTTCCTTTGCCTCGCAGTTGCCATTAAATGAGGGGGCCGGCTCGATGGCTTCCATCATCGATCCCGTGTCATCGAGAAGGAAGACGACGTCGAATTTTGAGAGCAGGGCGAAATCTCGGTTATCTTCCTTTCCACCATTTATACGATTGGGAGGCATCATAAGGTCGTCGAACCTGACGGGGACGATGTTGGAGCGGGATATGCTGGGAGTGTTGTTTTCTTCGGATTTTGGGTTGCTGATACCCAAACCAACTGGTTGGGAGTGAGGAGAAGGGTCAGAGGCCGATGTTCCGTCGCTGGCCGAACTTGCTGTGGAAGGCCGGCATGAACCTTGGCCTTTATATGGAGGGGGGCTTTCGTCTCTCGCTAGGTTCTGTCTGAAAGGCAGTTCCTGAAAGACTTTTCTCTCAAGCTTTGTCGCAGAAGAGGATGGGATAATGCTGGATCCAGAGAGTGTTCGTTGGATCATTCGAATTATGAATTCAGCAACGTCACGGTAACTTTGGTCCTGGTTGTTCTCCATCTTGATCATGGTACGGTGATCGCCTTCAATGCCGATGGTCTGGCAGTCAAATGAGCTCATGGCTGAGTCGGGGTCGGTTACCTGAGAGTATATGTTAGTGTCAGGTTGAATTGGAGCTCTTATGATTCCTGAGCAGACCTGTCACTCAAAAGAAACGATATTTCGACGTACGAATCTCATTCCGAACATTGGCTGCATCTCATATGCGATCACAATCGGAATCCTTGTCCTTGGGTGGTTTCGCATCTGATCAAACCTGGCAACAATGGTATTTAGGTCCTCGGATTCGATACTCAAGCTATCTATCAGAGTGTCATTGCCCCGGAGGAACTTGACAATGCGGGAAGCATATCTGGCTAGCCTGGAGCCTTCCTGTGATCATTGCTGTCTATCAGCAAGCGCCGATACATGGAGGGATTCCGGGGCGTTCGAAGGTTGCGGACTCACGAAGGGAGTGCCAAAGAAGAAAATCCCCTTGACGAGGCATTCTTCACCATTGAAGAATGTACTTTGACAATCTTGGAATCGCTCTAGCCTATGTGACTCCTTTGACAGAGCATGAATAAGGGCCTAGAAGAACCGATGGTTAGACACGACCACACCAGATCCTCGAGTCGACAGGGTTTCCTATACCTAACAGACGACCAAGCCTCCAAGGCTATGGCAAGCGAAGTACATTGGACGCTTCGATCCCTGTTGGACTGGGCGTTAGTCAGAGACGCAGACAAACTATGGTGGTTGGACTCACCTCAGTCCGGTCAGCCCTAAGATGGTTGAGGAAATTCTGCGATATTTTGTCGATCGTTGCAGTGGCAGCGGAGGCACACATAGCGCTTGCACGATATCCCACGGTTGCCAAGCGACCAGCTAACTTCGGGCCGTGCCAATTCATGGGATCCAGCGGCCTAGCTTTGATGTCGTTGGGAAGGAAGTCTCTGGGCCACATGTGAGGTGCGCCTTTGTCTGTGCTCCAAGACTTAAAAGCATGCCCTCCGAGACCATGAACGAAATACATACTGTATTCGGCATTGTTGTCAGCGAGAAGCTCTCATCATCGAACATGAATCCAGGTTATGGCAAAGCAGCTTACTCGAACTGAGGGTCATCGTGCTCGGCGATCGTTGTTACACCGAGAAACTCATCGCTTACCATGACAACTGAATCTTTGACATCTCCCGCCGGGAGCTTTGGGTAGATGCGTGTAAGATGGAGCTTGTCACGCACAACTTTGCATTTCTCCTCTGTCTCCTGGCGAATTGTGACGACCGCGCAGAGCGTGCGCTGGTTCGTTTCCTTGGTCAAGGGATTGACAATGGGGTCAGAATCGTGTCTCTGTCGCCTAATATGCTCAAACACGTCGTTTTCTGTGGTCCCCAAGGGAAGATTACGGATCGTCAAGGTCATATACGAGTCTCTTTCCGCGTGACGATCGCCGTGGTGGGGATGGAAGCGGGCATGCACCTGGTGCGCACGCCTGTGAATGTTATCGAACAAGGTCGCCATCTTGAATGGGCTCGAATTCTTGGAGATGAGTTGTTTGGAAATGTTGGAGATCGAGCAAGCGTTCAGACTTACTTTCGGTGCCAGCCGCCCTTATTTAACCTTTATCGGCTTGTTAGTTGGTCATGCGGCTCTGCGCTTCCAACTGAGCGTTGACCAATCTGTGCCCAACCTGTGGTCTCGTCGTCCAGCTGGTGTCTCATGATGGAGTTGATACTCGCCGGGTGATCAGCATTCAGCTTCGTTCAGGTTCGCGAAGCACTGTCTACAGTAACCTCAAACAGCAAGGTCGCAACACGAGTAATCGCGTTAGTCGCCAAGCGCGGGCTGGCCTTGTTTTTTTTTCCAATGGTTCTGATACGCGGTGTAGTGCAAGATGCGCAAGAAGGAGTGATACGCAATTTACGCATGCCAACATTCCCGGCGCCGCCCCAATCAAATTTTCACGACGCCTACGCTCTGGTTGAGATGCTTCCTCCAAGCTTCCCACAGGGCAATTAGGGCTCTCAGAATCAACCACAATATTGGCATTGCTGCCCAATCGAAACACAGTTGTCGCGACATGGTTCCGAAATCTTGTGGCCTTGCTCTGCCTTGTCATTTATACTTTTGTTCCGGTTGTATCGGAATTACCACAATAGGAAAGAGTGAAGATATTCGGAAGACAAGTGTCTGCAAGTACATGCAGGAAGAATCTGAACAATCCGTAACCATAGGCATTGTCTTGGCACTTTGCATGGGGAATAGGCGTATTGGCTTACAAGACCTCTCCTTCCCAAAATCTTGTCATAGGAAGGGGGAGCTCTTCATGGTACCTGGTCGAACCGAGGATACCCCATGTTTGCTACGGCTTATCCCGTTGTCTACCTAACGTTCACCCTCAACAGTCCGGCACTCCGCTCGTTCGCTGCCCATGTCACGCTCTGTGCCATAGCGCCAGCGCAAGACCACATCATGTGCTATGTGCCACTCCCGAAACAAGGAGGTTCTTCCTGTGAGGACCGTTTCGGCTCGGGCGCCAGCGAACACTGATTGTCAGGCTCCTCGTCGGTGAAAATCCGTCGACCGTCGAGAGCTTTCTGTTGTGTTACTCGAAAAGCGTCCCGCAAAAAGACTACCAGGCTTCGGCTTCGAACACCGACTCGCTGCCACGACGAGGCACAGAATAACACCGGCGAAAGGAATCATTCTCAAGTGTGGCTGTCGCAGATTGTGCAATTGGCGGAGGCTACGCCATATATGCATGTGTTTGACAGGGGGTGAAACCGGAAACGAGGAAGTCGTTCATCCCCGCGGGGTTCCCAACCCGGCCCTTCACAGTTGGGACAACCCATCAAGCCACTCGAAAACCCCTCCAGTTATCGCTGACCAGTCGGCCATTCTATGAATTATCTCCGACCCGACCCCATTACCCCGTGTTCTGGGATTCACGTTTCTCAGCTTCTGCAAAGTTATGGTTACATGAGGCTCCGCGCACAGCTCGCAAATCAGCGATGGACTTGGCTCCGAAAGTATTTGTTTAGGCCGCCATCAATCACAATCAAATCCAGCAAGGCGGCCGTCTGAGTGACGATCATTCGTGGGTACAACGAACCGTTGAGTTTCAGGTTACATTTTGTTGCCCGACGGTGAGGCCGCAACTCGACCACCAAGAATTCATCCAAGAGCCGCGTACTGTCCTCTTATGTTTATCGGCCCCTTTTCTGGAAATGCGGGAGACAAACCAGGCAACACAAAGAACAACCCATGGTGTTTCATCAGAACCCAATACCCGGGGAACCCTGCCGATGTCTCCTATCAACGTCCCGTCAGCACCTTACATATTCGAGCCAGTCACCCCTTGAAACATAGGACCGAGGAAAGCAGCATGACGATGCCTTCTAAGCCCGAAATGTCGTCCGTCATGTACCTCATCAGAATCACGAATCTGGCTACCCCGAACCCTTACGTGGCGAGCTCCGATTCACCTGAAGACCCTCCTTCATCAATAGCGGCTTTTTTTTTCATAACGTCATGCCTTTTCGCTCAAGAAGACTACCATCCGTTCAACACGATTCTCGCCTCGGCTCTTGATACATTATACTACATATCTCCCCTTGATGCATGCAACTCCAACGTGATACGTATGCAAACTGTTCTGCAGAGCTGCATGCATTGTCATTTGAACACATGGCTGACACTCGACAAGTGAGTTGTCATTTGGGCTGAAGCGGGTTCCTGGGCTCGCTGGACTGGCGATATGTGACAGAGACGGAGGCTCAGCTCTCTCCGAGCAACAACGGACATCATTACATACCCACACTACTAAGCTAGATACCTCTACATGGATGCCGAGTTTCCGACCAATTCTTTTTTTATTCCCCCTGATGTCAAGTGGCTGGCTGGTTATGTAGTTCTATAAGTGCGCTTGCCGGTTAACCTTATTTCTGTCCGTCAACCACATTAGTGTCTCAAGACAAGTTACCACTTCCACAGTCATCATAG